ACCAGCGTGCAAGTCGTCTCTTGCCTCTGTGTAAATGATAAGGCGGAAATACTTTGGAAATAACAATATCAGTTTTATCGCGCGAGGACAAGAGGAAGACGATAAGTTAAAATATCGGATTTCAAAGCATTATTTACTGATGAGTCTATAAACCAAATATATACTTAAACACGTTTAGTAAGAAATCTCAGTAAGGAAAATAGATATATGCACGAAGGTTTTTGTCGACCATGAAAATCGAACGAGCGAGAAAAACAAAACAAATTAAAAGCACAAAACAAAACGAAAGCCCCTTCGATTAAGCAATTCAAAAATCCCCTGAAAATGGCCGAACTGACTGGGACATGTATCCAAAAAAATATGTAAAAGGCCATCATCAAGGGGATTGGCAGCTTTTCTCCGAGGGGGATAAATCCCCCTTCCCTCAGCTGCCCCTTTCCCCGGCCTCGTCAGGGACGTGGACGAGAGCAAAAACCAGAGAAAACAACTTACCAGTTCGGAATTCGAGTGAAACAGAGCTGTGCCAAAACGATCTAAGTGCAACGTAAGTAGTAGACTTAATATACTTAGAACATAATTTATGTACAACTGATAAATTTTATTTATTTATGTCTATGTATTGATTGGTTGTTTGTTAGTTCAGGAGTTTTAAAATTTGGAAAACGTGTTTCGCATCACAAATAAGGAGAATAAATACATATATCTATGGAACAAAATGTTAATTCCAGATCGAAAGTGACCCAGAAGCGACCCCACTCGAGAGGATGTGACGAGAAATCTTGAGATCAAACATAAAAGGCTTCTGTCTATAGATCGTGTAATCTTCAGCATCACCGTAAATAACAGTTCTTGTATTCTAAGTATCTGTTGTTAGTTTATCTGATCATAGTGCAAGGCCATGGTCGATTTTACCCCCCTCCCNCCTCCCACCCACTTAAGTCGAGAAACAAACCTGCTTGACTAGTTTCTATTGCTGGTCTTAAGAGTTGGCTTCCTGAGCCGGCGTGCCACAGGTCTTCTGGTCAGCAAGCAGCGCCACTTCTGGTGGACAGTGGCACGTAAAGCCTTCTGGGTAAAGAGCAACAGGAGCTAATAAACAGATGTGACTGCAGCGTCCAACCTCTGCAGTGACATTACAGGGATTCTTTCCTGTGCAAAGAGAAAAAACAACAGTGATCAACATTCTAATTTCTCCTTACAATATCGATACATTGTCAATCGGACAGGTGTTCAGAATAACGAAAATAATATACTACGGAATACTGTTTCGTTGTAACATCAAATTCCCAAATTCCCAAGATCATGTGTGCGCCTTAAAACGCGAAAGATTCCGAAGAGTTCGTCAGAGATTTTGTCCTAAATGTCCCAGTTGACGTTTCATACCCCGACGATTTCGCTTTCTAGGGTATCCATCTCGAGTTTTCTATAAGTTACAGATCACGATATTTTTATGGTCCATACTCTTTAAGATAACATTTCCCGACCAATGAGCGAGCGACAACCCTCTCAGTTACTGTCAAATGTTTAAGTAACCTAATGGCTGCCTCTGCTGATGAAACACTACAACATTCATTACGTCTCGCAGATTAACCGCCAATTCAACTTCTTCGCCACCAGTGAACTTATTTGCCCCGAACAATTTTCCATTTTCCCAGTCAGTCCAATACACATTGTCCTGGAAGAGAGACATTCCGAAGGGATGTTCCAGAGACCCACTTTTTAAAACAA